AGATGTGGTACAGGGTCAGAGATCCAGTGGGGCTTTGCCCCACTGACACAAAATTAACATAAAACTGCCATATAACATGACATTATAACACCACACAACACAACATAACATTCCAGCACACACCACTGTCTACAGGGAATCTTGAGAACAGCAACATGGGACAAACCTTAACCTGACATCTTTACTGGCATGAAAACCAACTGGAAAATTTATTAATATTTAAAATTAGCAAAGTGGGATCAAAGAGGAAAGAAGGCTAGAGATCAAGGGTCCTGCTAAGAGGGTAACAGGAATTCCTGTGTAGTGGAATGTCTTATGCCTTCAAATCATTAGTGAGGGTCTCCAGCCCAGTGTTCATAGGAACGAAGCATAAGGAGTCCAACATCTATAAAAGAAGCTATGTGACCATCTACTAGTCATTCAACCACTCTGGAAGGGTATTAATTTTCAAGAAATAATGCTTTTGAGAACTCCAGTTATCTTTGAAAGGTTCCTGATGGCTATTCTGAAATAACTGGCCTCAAGGGGCTGTAAGACTGGAGAATGAGGCAGATGGATCCAGGATTGCACAGAGATCAATTTATTGAGGACTTCCTGGCAGAAGCAGCATGGGCAAGATCAGAGGGTCCCTGGGATTTGAATTAGAAATAGGGGGCTTATTATGTATTTGAGACAAAAATGATTTCATTCTTGCTAGAATGTATCTGGTTAGTCTTAAACTAGTACTAAGGACATTAGATACATTCCAGGTACTGACAGCACCAGGGTCTAGTTGTAAAGCTCTACATATTGTCTTAATGGTTTTGATGAGTTTTAGTATCCTGAAGAGCTACATGAGGAAAACTGACCAAGGATACTCAGGACAATCACGGAGATTATGACTCAGGATGGCTTCAGTCGTGTCCAACTGAGTCCCTACAGAATCTGTAAGATGGTTAACAACGCTGACTTTTGGTCACCGTTTTGGCAAAAAAATTTAAAGCATTATGTTGAGAGAAAATAATCACTGCTCTGCTGCTCCAAAATTTCTAATTTGAATATATCATAAACTTAATCTACTGGTAAAATAAGATAGTTTATTATGTATTTCTGAGTGAAAGGAGGAAGTTATGAAAGAATTCAATATGATCTCCTAGTTTTAGAAAAATACTTGCATATATGCAGTAAAAAAATGAAAACTCTACACCAGGCTTTACTAACCTAGGCACTCATTAACATCGGGCAGGCTAATTCTTTGTGATAAAGGGCTGTTCTGTGCATCAGAAGATATTTAGCAATCTTTCCAGCCTCTTCCCATTAGAAGCTAGTGGCACTGCCTCCCTGAGCTATGATAATAAAAAATGTCTCCAACCTAGGTGTGGTAGAGGTGCCTAATATCCCAACAACTTGGGAGGTTGAGGTGGAGCCTCACTGAAGTCACAACACATGGCCAAATGTCCCTTGGAGGATGAAAGTGTCCTTAGTTGAGAATCATTTCTCTGTCTTAATATACCTGCAGTGGTTAAATCCGCATATTCTTCCCTCATTCATTTTTTGTTATTGTATGATGAACACATATGTGTATCTTAATGTATCTTCTATAATAAAAAAATAACTATTATTAAAATACCATAACTGTAGCATTATTCATTTTTTTAAAATTAAAGACACATTTAGAGTGAAGTCTTTGGGAAAAAAATACAAGTAGAAGATTTATGGGTTGATATAACATGGAGAAGCAAAAGTAAATTAAGGAAAATTCTAAGCTAGTTCAGTGTGAATTCATCTACAAGATGTGGGGGTGGAACTGTGTGGGCCTGAAAGACTTTGACTCATGACCAGGTGCACCCATCTATGATTATCAAGCTCTCTGTTTAATGTTCTCATTAGATTCATCACCCCAGGCAGACTGCGGCTCTGGGCTATACAAACAGATTTTCCTCGCTGCACTGAACTCCTTGGAACTGAGCTCAGCCGGGGGCACCAGATATTTTCCATGGTGCAGGTTTTTGGAGGCAAGTTCACTTCACTCACCATCTTCCCTTGGGCCGGATGTGACAGTTTCACTTGCTTTACAGGGGAGGTATTTTTCATTCACTGGTTGTTTAGGAGTGATGGGGTATGCAAGGAGAGCCACTGAGATGTCTTCATGAGGACAATTAGCCTGATATGGAAGCAGCATGTGAAATCCTAGAACAGAGCGATGACCAATGATAGGTTGAGGAGTTCTTGTCAAAGACTCTGACCCTTCAGCTTCACAGCTCTACTTGAACCTCAAGCCTAGAATAAAATTGGATATAGACCCTAGAGGAGGTGGTAAACCCTGGTGACAGAAGACAGGATGCATGCCAGCTTCTTCCCGCAGTTTACGTCTAAGATGTCACCTCTCCCCATGAGAGAGGTCTGTCATATGCTCATGTCTGAGCATTCAGATGTGCGTCAACTTATGATGGGGTTCATAAGTTGAAAATAGAAGTAAAAAAGGCATTTACCAGACTGTATTAGTCAGCTTCACATCACTATAATGAAATTCTTAATGCAGCTACTTATGCAGTAAAGAAGTTTATTCACAGTTCTAATGCTTTAAACCCAAGACTGGACAGCATTGTGGATAGATTTGGGCCTCTGGTGAGTATGGTACATCATGCGGGGGGTGCCCATGGGGGCCACTGTTTGCATCCCAAGCAGGAAGCAGGGGCTGAGAGATTTGGGTCCCACAATGTCCTTTGAGGGTACTCCCTCAATGACCCAAGGACCACTCACCCACCTCCTAAGGTCCACAGAGCCTCCTAATAGAGCTGTCCTGGGGAACAAGCTTGTGACGTACAGACACAGTCCCTGGGGGGACACTCATCCAAATTATAGCCGTACATCACGTGGTCAAGACAAAAGCGATTTCCACCTAGCTAGAAGGTATTTGGTTAATCTTAAACCCACTGGGGATCTCAGCGTCTACCTTCATGATCACAGTGCTGGCTGCCGCTGCCCGGTGTCTGGAGGGAGGACTGTGTGCCATACACCTCACTAACCTGGGGAAAGATCAAATTCAAAACTTTAAGAAAAGTCTCCACTGAATGTGTGTGGCTTTTGCAGCATGAAGTGGAAAAATCCCAGACTGAACCCTTCTAAGTGAGGGACCCCTGTGTGTGTGCATGTGTTCGTGCATATCCTACAGAAGACGGCTGCAGAAAAACTGGAGAAACACTCGGTACTTCCAGCATGCTTAGAATGACAATGAGAAAGCGACTCTGAATTAGATTTCCTCTTCTGAAGCCAGGAAATGTGGTTCAACCATGGAAGGATTTCAGTCTGAAGGCACAGAGTAGGAAGAAAATTACTATTGTACTTTCAGGTAAGAAAAGCAAAGTTAGGAAAGGCCTGTCACTGAATCAAAACAGAGCCATATGTCTCAATAGTTCTCTTTCTGGTGCTAAGCATATGATCTGGCAGTTAATAATGATGATGACAAACACTTCATAGCACTCATTATGTGCCTGGCACCACTCTAAGAGAACTACAGTTCAGCCTAAGGAAGTTGTTATTTTGACTTCACAGATGAGGGGCGTGTAGGATCTAGTAGGTACTCAATAAAAATTATATAAATGAAATTAATAAGCCCAACTATCACCAATTAATTTCTTTTTGTTTTTCATAACAACTCATTCTGTCCTACTTCTGAACTCCTTTTGTAATTTTTTTTTACAAATGTGTTCTTCAAAACTAGCAGAATCATTTCTAGAAAGATTGAGAACAGAACATTCTGATTAATATAATTATGTTCTAAATTAAATCATTTGCTCAGAAACGGCTTGGATTTGTGGACAGTCACAAAAGACCATGACCCCAGAATCCATCTCTCCTACAAGGGTTGTTTGCCTGTGCCAAAAACATGACTCAGGAAACACATTTCTGTCTTCTTGAAAAAGCAATAATGGATCATGAGTTCATGGCAAAAACAAATGTATCTTAAGGTAAACCATGTGCAATTGCTGTTCTTGTAGCTCTAAAACAGCTAAATATCAGTAATTTTATATGGCTCAACTTTGTAGATTCTGTCACATTTTAATGTAGTATGACTAGAGAATTTAATTTTCTTAACAAATAGTAAAGTAGATGGGAATAGTTACCAGAGTTTAACTAGGTAGGTATTATTTCATGGTATGCTTGCCACAGTAAATTACGTTAAATTTAATAAATCTTCCCATTCTTCTTCATTTATTTCTTCTCTATATCCTGTGTTTATGCACTGATTTTAATATTATGTGGATACAGGATATTCTTTCATAGGATATTCTTTCATATGTATTGCAAAGACCTCACACTCCCCATCCTAGCAGAATACTTAATATTATAATAGTAACCTAATGCTGAATACTTCTAGTTTATCAATTATATAGATATATTTTAACAACACTTTCCCAGGAATCATGTACTATTCCACTATACAATGTGGCATTTTCTTTTGGGTTAGTTTTGAGGGGAAATAAAAGCTCTTACTAAATTATGGAGAGAACAATTTTCTGACTAAAAGAAAATCATTTATGCTCATACCCTAGAACCACTCATAAAATGTTGAACATTATATCTTAAGGTAGATGAAGGCATAGGATATCATGAAGATTTGTGCCTGATTTCTTCCCTCTAAATCTGAATTATTATGACTGGAGTGTGGAATCGTGGATTGAAGTCTTAACATGTGACTAACTCCAACTTAAGTCTTTACATATGGTATGTACGCATTTATATATGTATTTATTTTGCAGTGCTGGTGATGAACTTAAGGGCTTCTCCCTGAGCTTTATTCCCAGGCCTTTACAATTAAATTTTTTTTTTTTATTTTTTTTATTTTGAGACAGTGTCTCCCTACATTCACTAAATTGCTCAGGCTGGGCTTGAACTTGTGATCCTCCTGCCTCTGGCTCCCAGAGGGCTGGGATTACACCCACCACCACCAAAACTCAGCCATACTTGTAGATTTCTAGGTACCTCATCATTCTCATAATCAACACATTCTGGAAAAGTAGTATTTGTAAAATGGATGGTCTTTATGAAATATTTTGCAGTGTCACCTACACATAATAAAAAATAATCAGAGAATCATACTTGTTACAAAGTTAATAAGTAGAATGGCCACAGAACACACTCCTGAATCAATCCTGCAGGGCAAACATGCATTGACTGTTGATTCTGTCTAAAGCAAAGGTCAGCCCTTGCACCCCAAGGACCCTATGGATGTTGTGGGGGACCAACAGGTAGCACCCATCCCGAGTCAGTGCAGGGAGCAGAGCATGACTGTTGTCCTCACTGACACTGAGGAGCACAACCACGTCACTCCCAGCCCTGGCATTCCACCTGTTTTTGCTCCCGTGCCCTGTCACAGTAAGGGCCGGGCAAAGTTAAGTCTTGCTAGGGTTAGTTTTCCATTTGCACATGCAGTCCCCATTCTGCCATAAATCGCAGGAGATAGTTTTCATCTTCTGCTGCCTTGTCTGGCCCCGGCGCCTCATAGAGTCTGGACAACAGGCCCTCCTCAGCAAGACCATCAGACTCCTGATACTCATTGCCCTTAGGGTCCTGGTCGAAGCTAGACAAGGATGGGATACGCAGCCTGCCAGTCTGAGGGTCCCAGTCAACCAGTGTCATCCGTGGCTCTTCCTCTGGCCCCTCTTCTGAGACCAAGCGCTCCTGCACCAGGTTGTGTAAGTCGCTGAGCTGAGCTGAATATGAACACAGCAGCGTTGGTGGGCCCAAGCTTGTCAAAGCTGCTTGTTGCTGAAGTAACTTTCCTGGCACGGATGCCACTTCTTGCACACTGAACTGGTGACCTTCAGGCCCCTCCTGAGTGTCAGTTCTCACGTCACACTCATACTCAACCGCAGCTTCGCCTGCAGCTGTTGTGCTGCTGAGAGACTCTCGCTGGGTCAAGGAAGTCGCAGAGTCACAGAAAATTCCCACCAGGTGTGGGGCATACTCCAAGTGTTCCACCTCTACCTCCTCCAGATGGGGCTCCGGGTTCCAGAGGGGCTCAGGATCACTGAGCTTGGATCCATCACTGCTTTTGTCCAGTAGATTCATATCCTTTTGAGGCATTTTAGAATCATCCAGAATATTGAGGGTGATAAAGTTAATCATGATTTTTTCAGCAGGCACAAAGAATCTTTTGTCAAATTCATTTCCATAAATCAAAATCTATAAAGAGAGAAGAGAATGTTTTTCACCTTTTCACTTTAGAAAGACATTAAAACAGCTGTTCAGTAGAATTCGTTGTGTCATCAGGGATTTTGAATCATCTACTCTTACTAACTTGTGATGGCAAGAGCTAAGCTTGGAACAGATAGCAAACCTTTCTGTCTGGGATTAAGGAACCGTGGACACATAGACTGTGCATGGTTCACTGGCGGGTACTGATCCAGTTTGAGGTTTGGGGTGTGGCTGACCTTCCTCTACATGGCTGAAGGATTACAGGTGAACTGCTTAATTTATTGAGCATTTTTAATTCTGCAACGTAAGAATGTGGCCACACAAACAGTGGCAAAAACTGAGACATGGTTTGTGAAACCGCTTTGTTTATGGTTTACTATGTATTTGTTAATCTGCTGGGGTTACCTGAGCTACGAGCCCTTTCTTGGCTACACTGTGGACATGGAATGTGGACGGGCAGGAAAACTGGTGTGGAGAGGGGGAGAAGCACACGGTAGAGATGATCCCCCCTCCGGCCACTAATCATGCTAGAAAAAGGCAAAAATGGAAATTCTCTTGTTAATTCATGGCAAACAGAGAAACTCTAAATCACGTCAGGGGAGTTCATTTGAGATTAAAAGTTTGGTACATACATGTGAAAGAGCTTGTTAGTTAGGAAAGCATCAGTCAGTGATAAATTATGCTACAATCTTCACTGTTACCCGACCATGTGATGATTTTATTTAACACCACACCAGGACCATCAATCTCACCTCTTATAAATTTTAGTTTCAAAAAAATCCTGTGGTGAATTCAGCTCCCTGTGCCAATAAGAAGCGAGCTCTGACACCTAAATGCCAGCAGTATAGAAAAATTTACAAGGGACACTAAGAGAGACAGATGTATGTAGTATGAACACATCTTTTATTAATACCCAAAGAAATAATTTTCAGTGTTAAAAATTGCTGCTCAGTCCTTCGAAACTTTTCATCAGACGGTCCAGGAACGTGGGGTTTATTCTTCTATTTGCTTGCTTCCCCTTGACGAGTGCTCACATCCCGGCTGTATTCCTCCTACGTGTGCTTCTATTACATATTTTACCTCTAGGACTCTCCTCTTTGGATTGCTCATCTTCTCTCTCCTGGACAATGCCATTGTTTCTAGCTCTTTTCTTTGCTTCTAGTTTTACTCCCCTTAAGGTTGTCCTAGCAGTGACTGTGAGACTCTTAACTTAAACCCCACGGAGACTTCAGAGTAACATGACCGAGTGCAGCACCTGTCTCCAGTACACTCCTTATCAGGAAGCATACAGGTTGTCAGTGTGATGTGTTTCCCACATCTGCTTCCTTGTCTCCTGCTTTTTCTGCCTGCAGAAAGTGTCCTAGCTCTTATCCTTCACATCCAAGCTCCAGTGCAAAAACTGATCCCCATGTAGGGTTTGAGGCCTGCCTGGGAGAGAGTCAGGGACCACCATGGTGGGACAAAAGGCTAGGACAATCAAATAAACCCCTGGATGTGGTACACTATTCCCCTTTGCAGCATGCATGCGGCTTCTCTACTCTTATTCCCTCCTCAACTGACCATCATGAGATAATGTAAAATCACAGAGGGAGAACGTTTACATGAAATGAGGGAATTGCTACCAAGGAAAAACCTAAATAAAACTTCTGGCTTCACTTGCCTTTAGTAGATCTAAAAATTACTGATTTTGGAATTCACACAGCTGGGTAATACTTGATTAGTTTCCCACCAGCTTTGCTGTAGAGAACACCTCTGATGTGTGGGTTTTAACAGTTACCTAGGTTACTTCTTGGGACCTGAAGGCCCCTTCTACAGAGAACACTCACTCTTCATGTCAGCCTACAGATACCTGATAGGTGACTAAAGTGGGATCAAAGGGCTTGGCAGCTTATCTTCATTTGTGTCTGCTTCCTCTGCTGTCTTAACCCGTGGATCAGAAGCTACTCTGCATGTAGATATATGGATCATTTAAAAATGTTTTGTCTAAGATTATCATATACGGTCAGTTTGGCCTATTGCCCATTGAAGCTGGTATGTGTTTTCTTTTTCATTCTGTCTTTTTTCTACCCCTACCCTTGTACCCTTTTTAACAGTCCTGTCACAAGACCCAGGCCCACCAGGCTGGGATGTTTTACTGAGGATGTTGGCATCAGCTTCATAAAAATTCAATAGCCAAGAAGAATAACCTTTTCAAATGATGGTCCTGGTCAGTGGAAACTTATTGGATGCTACCCACCTCAACAAATCAATAAAAGCTTGCTTCTTCTCCTCCTTAGCCTCTCTCATGATCAATGCTGATTCCCTGAAGCTACAGACCTGATTCAGCTGAAGTACCCCTCACCCCATAAAAATCCTTGCCTATGTACGAGCTTCTGATACTTGGCTTGGTCTCATTTCTAGCTTTTCTGAGTACAAAGGTCCTGCAGGTATCAGCTGTGCCCTAAGGGTCTTCAGCATTTGGTTTCATGTCGGTCTTTGTGTATTAGTTTGAATTTCTAGTCCCTGACTAGGCTTTTACTTGCAGAAGGGCTGGATTTATGACTTAATTTATCTGTGCACCTCAGGACTTTGCCTGATCCAGGATTAAATATAAAAATTTTTCAAAGCTAAGGAATCTTCGTTTAACTTTGGTCACGTTTGCAAACTAATCTAGTACAGAACTTTAAAAAAAATTTTATTAACTATTTAACATTAAATCTACTCCATCCTCAGATGGAACCCTATCTTTTCTAGAACAGAGTGTGTTGCTAAAACAGATATTCCCACCACACCAAGCACTCACCAAATTTGCTGGGTGTTTCTCTTTGCCAACATGGACATATCGGTAGATGGAGTAGCCAATCACAGAAAATAGAAACACCGTCACAGATGTGGGCAAAACATACCAAAAAATTATTTTAACCTTCAGTGCTGATGTTGGATCTGTTACAAAAAAAAGGATTAAAGAATTGAAATTTTTGTGGTGGAAAAGTATTGGCAATATTTAGAAACTTTGGGCAGATCACCTACCATACATTCAGGGACATAGTTTTCACAACTGTACATTAAAAAGCTTCAGCTAAGTGCTGTAAGGGGTCTCAGTATTCTTAATCTCTCTGGCCTCACCTCACATCTTCACAGTAAGGATACATAAAGATCCAACTCAGCAGACATTTCCACATATTCTATCTGGCTTTGAGAGTCATGCTGGATTATATGTTTGAAAGTAAAGTATCTGATATTTGAGTAACTCATAGCTCTTCAAACCAAGCAACAGTGCTCTCTTGTGCCCTGCTGTTTCTTGGCATTCGTTTGACTCAATCATCTCCATGCATTTAGCAGAGGACACAAATGTGTGACATCACCATTCAGGGTGAGCAGCAGAACCACTCTTGTACAACGTAGGCTAGATTTTCTGGGTAGGGCCACAGTGTGGGGAGGTGGCTGAGCAGCAGGGTGCTGAGAATGGCAACAATGCCCTTCCAGGACCTGCAGTGCTGCAGGCGCACAGTGGGTACAAGGCCAGAGAGGGATGAAAAGACCTGAAGAAGGGTCAGAAGGAAAGGTCCCTGGCCATCTGTGACCCATCACATTGTAGAGTTGATGACGCATTTGTAAGCTCTTCTGCTGTACCTGAAAGTTGGGAATGTTAATTTTATGTGTCAACACATAACACACGGCTGGCTGCAGTACCGATTCATATATGGCAAAACATTATTCGACATGTTCCTCTGCAGGTATTTTTTAAGATGAGATTAACATATACATCACTGGATTTTGAGTGAAAGCAAATTACCCTCTCTAATATGGATGGATTTTGTTCAATCAATAGATGCCATTAATTAAAAAAAGAATGATTCCAAAGAAGAGGGCATTCTGTCAACAGACTACATTGGATGTGAACTGCAACATCAGTTCCCTGCTGGGTCTCCAGCCTGCCGCCTGCCCTGCAGATTTTAGACCTGCCAGCTGATACAACTTCTTAAAGTTTCTATCTATCTATCTGTCTATCTATCTATCTATCTATCTATCTATCTATCTATCATCTATCTATCATGTATCTATCTATCTATCATCTATCTATCTATCATCCATCTATCATCTATCATCTATTTATCTATCTATCATCCATCTATCTATCATCTGTCTATCATCTATCTATCTATCTATCTATCATCTATCATCTATCTATCTATCTATCTGTCTATCTATCTATCTATCTATCTATCTGTCCATCTGTCCATCTACCTATTTAATTAGATCTGTTTCTCTGGAGAACTCTGACTAAAACAGCAGTACAAAAAAGACACAAATGACAAGAGCCCTTGAGCACTCCTTACACTCTAATGAAACTGGCAAGCATATCACAGGAACATTTGAATCCATTTGAACACTGGATGCTTTTGATGCCTGGCCCGAGTGAAAGCGGCAGTCGCCATTCAGTTAACTATCCAGCTACAGATGGGAAACAGATGCGTCATGGTGGTGATGGCAATCAGCAGTCGTCAGTGGGAAAGGCCAGTATGGAGGTCCAGCTGCAGCCTCTTCTACCCCAAATGGTCCCGAAGGAGCGTGCTCACGATCAGGTTTCACACAGCACCAGCCAAGGCTGCAGTGCAGATGCCGCAGGTGTCTGAACACCACCTCCCCTGCTTTAGGCTGCAGCTCAGCCCAGGTCTCTTACTAACAAATCCCTCACACTGGACTGAGCTTGTGTTGATTCAGAAGGGCCATGATAACAATGACTGGTGTGGTATTTTCTATGTGCTGGCACATTTACTAAATATACCTAATAAATTGGGTCGCTATTTTAGGGATTAGGACACTGTAGACAGCAGAAACATGTTTCAAGGAAGAAGTAATACTGTTTCTTTAGAAAGCAGCAGAGTCGGGGCTGGGGATTTAGCTCAGCGGCACAGCGCCTCCCTGGCAAGCGCAAGGTCGTAAGTTCAATTCCCGGTACCGGAAAAAAAAAAAAAAAAAAGAAAAAAGAAAGCAGCAGTGCCATAGAATGGTATCTCCAAGCCAGGCCTGATGATGCAGGCCTGTAATTCCAGAATTCTCAGAAGCCAAGGCAAGAAGATTGCCAGATTTGAGCCCAATCTGGGAAACTGAGTGACTCAGCAAGAAATTGTTCCAAAAAATTAATAAAGCATTGGAAATGTAGCTCAGTACAAAGGCCCTGGGCTTAATCCCTAGTAGTGGAAAAAAAAAAAGATATCTTGGGTTATTAACAGCTGGGATATCATGGGAAAGTTCAGAACCAGAAATGGAATTTGGTTATTTTGTTTCTTTTCCCACATGCATGGGAAACTGGGCTCCATCTGCTAATCGGGAAGTATTTAATTTAATTTGTGCTTTAGTGGCTTTAGCTCTGCCAACTGAGTAAATGATTTTCGCTGGAAATTTATTCCTACCACTTGGCACGGACTGAGCTGTTAGTAAACACCATACTTTCTCCAAACACAAAAATGATTTCTTCAGTCTGCTTTGTTTTGCCTTTTGCTTGCTTGGCATTTCAGCTTTGTCTGTAATGCGGCAGGGGAAGCTCCATAGTAAAGGAAAAGGTGGGATAAGGACAGGGATTCAACAAGAAAGCCTTTCACTTTTGCTGTGTCTCCACAAGGTTCCTTTTCTTTTCCTTGGGATAATTTCATCTTGGAAGACGCGAGTGATGAGGAAAGAGAAAAGTGGAGCTATGATTCCTATGAGTAGCTGGGGCTAGAACCAAGAAGTGGGGTGAATTCACTGGAAGGGAGCGGCAGAAGAATAATAGGTGGAAGTCATTTATGTAACTTTCAGTTTTCAGGGATTGAGTTCAGGTTCCTTTCACATCGGGGGCAGAAAGATTAAGCAAAGCCATGCCCATAACTCCATGTCTCCTCACAGGAACAACATCCTCAACCACAGTCCCCTGGCACCCAGCTCAGAAAACATGGGAAGGAGACATGGAAGAAGAAGGAGAGAGATGTAACTGCAGAGTGTGGGCATAATTACTGATTTGCCCATTCTAGACCCTCGTGTAGCCAAGTGGTATCTGAAGACAACCCGGAGAGCCATTTGCATTCTCAGAGGAGCAAAACCGATTCTGGGGATTGAAACCAGGGCCCGACACATGCTAGGCAGATACTCTACCTCTGAGCTACATCAAGCCCTGAAAATTTTTTGTTGTTTTTGAGACACAGTCTCACCAAGTTGCCTAGGCTGAGCTTGAACTTGCCATCCTCTTATTTCAGCTGAGCAGCTAGGATTACAGGCATGTACCTGCGCTGCCACACCCAGCCTACCATGCTGCTGAGGATAATGTTTTGTTTCTCACAATAAAACTGTCAGATGTTCTTGAAGATCACTCCACTTCTACAGATCACAATGATTATGACTTAAAGAAGAAAAAAAAATGCATGTGAAAGGTTGTGTGTGCATGTGTGCATGCATGCAGGCGTGTGTGTGTTTTAAAAAACCAGGATGTCGCTAGGCTGGGCTCAATCTTGTGAACCTCTTGCCTCAGTCTGCCAGAGGGTCAGGATCACAGGTGTGCACCATTATACGCAACTGAGTGTTCTTGTTATTTCTCAAGGCAGGGAGCCATGTGACCACAGAAGACTGCTGGCAGCGGACTGTGGGATCTGCACTGAGATTCCCGCAAGGGGCTGACAACACTCCCTAACACTGGCCACGCTCCACGGCACAGCTGAATGGGGTTTGATGCACTTCAGGTGATAGCTATTTCTGCCTTTGTCTCAACTTGTCCTTTACACATGGATGTGTCTAAACCTTGTGTAAACAGGTGTACTTTCTTCTAGTTTTATCAGATTTCCTTCTTCATGCTAGCTGTTTTGAAACTTACCTTCCAAAGTACTGATACACTGCTTCCGAGAAGGCTGAGCAGGGCGTGGGAGCCCTGGGACGAAGGACTCCACCTGCACACAGTACAGAGTATTGGGCTCCAGCCAGCTGAGCACCAGTGTGTGGTTGGTGACACACTGGGACCACTAGAGCAGGGAATTGCAAACAGTGGTTAGAGCCAGAGATCCTAGGACCACTCTGGACAACTCTGGACAAGAGGGAAATCAGACTGAGATATCATTTGAACCTTTACTATTATTATAAGCTTTTATTTTTCCCTCCAGCAATAGTTTCAAAACACCTTCTCCTTTAGCTGGGCAAAGCATGGTTAGGAATTAGAACAATTCTAAATAATGACACAAGGATGAGTTTCTCACTCTGTCCTGTGTTCTTGTTAGCACTTTTTTAGCCTTCTTGAGGAATGACCAATAGATGTTATTCAAGTAAAGGCTCCTTATCAAAATGGGGTGCACTACTGCTGTACACTCCTATAGCAACACCACACAGTTAACGGCAGTTTCTCTAAGAAAAATCTGAAGTCAGCTCTGTAAATTTTTTTACACAGCAGCTTCACTTGTACCCTGTTCAGCCTGTCTTTTGAATAATGCATCTGTCTGGATTCTTGTGGGGAGGATTCAAGTATCAGGGCTGCTTGTTCTAGCCAGTGTCAACTACAGAACGTGGTACACAGATTATGTGGCCCATTCCATTTCAGGCTTACCGTTCTTCTTGACTTGATATTATACACAGACACGTTGTACTTCAGATTGGAGTATATTTGCTGCATGGAAATGGTATAGTCTTCTGGATTTCTCTTCCACTTGTCTGGAGCCGTCAGGACAATAGAAATGGACTTCTCATCAGTAGTTAAGGCAACCTCTGGGGGCCCAATTTGTGCTTCAAGAGGAGGGAGAGGATAGCATGTTCAGAGATTTAAAAAAAAAATCATCTTCCATAAAGCTACAACATCAGCCTACTCAGATCAAAGACCTACAGTTACCTCTTAGAGGAGATTCCTCAAAACGTACTAAAGAGGGCCCAAGTCATGCAGATATTGAGACATTTTACACGCCACAACACACTTAAGACAGCTAACTCTGGGGCTGGGGATTTAGCCAAAAAAAAAAAAAAAAAAAAAAAAAAGACAGCTAACTCAGACACTGTGTTTACTTAGTCTCCAGTCACAAGGGTAAGCCGTACTTGGTAATGGTAAATGCAATCAAAAGTGTTTGAAACATTCTTGGGACTTGAGAAATAATGTTTCAATAAGTGGAAAAATTAGACATGTAACGAGAATGATCTCCAGAGATCAGTAAGGTTTTCTCATAAAAGTCCAAAAGTAAGTATTTAGGCTTTGCAGCCCACAGGATCTCCGCTGCAACGACTCCACTTTGGTTGTGGCACAAATGCAGTCCCAGGTAACTCTGTAAACAAGCAAGTGTGGTCTCTGTTTCAATAGAACTTTATGAATAGACACTTAAATTTGCATTTCATGTAGTTTTCACAGGGCACACAATGTGCTTTCGGTATGTAAAAACGATTTTAAAGTATGAATACTGTCTCTGGCTCTTGGCTTGTAGAAAAACAGAAAGAAAGGGCTGGTTTTGGCCCGAGGGCTACTGTTTGCCAACCTCTGATTGGGCAGGGCACAGGGCAGCTCTGGGCCTTGGGAGGCCCTGCAGAGTTCATTCTGATGGCCCTGAATGCATCCTTCAAGGTGGAGTCAGCCACAGATTAGGGGAAGGCAAAATTATACAAGCAAGTACTAGGAAGATTTTGTCTCAAGTCTGAGTTACATCCAGAAATTACATCATCACACTGCCCAGTTTACAACAAGAAGTGACTTAGTGGAGTGATCAGGACACTTGAATCCATCTCCTGGACACACATAAATGGTTTATGAATGCATGAACTTAAAAAGTAATCTCTTGTTCCTCACATTATGTAACTTCCAGTAGACGGTAGAACAAATCAGAACTAGATATTATTGGAACCCAGCCTTAACTTTGGATCTAGAGACAGCCCTTGACCAAAACGTTCACATTACAAGTGACTCTAAGGTGAAGCACCATGGCCTGGTCACTTACCCCACTGGTGTAGAACCAAGCAAGCAGAGCTTTTCCTCTGGGCTGGGACTCAAACAAAGAGGGCAGATTAACTGGATATTAATACATGTTTAACCAACAAGTGCACTACTTACTTTCTAAAAAAGGATAGAATCGTCCAGTTTCAGTCCATTTGGAACAATTTGTTTTCCAAATGGCTTTAACTTTGGCGTAATATTGGTGTTCATAGTCAGATGTCTCATCAGAAAGATCACAGTAGGTCCTGTTGATATTTTTGCATTCAGGTTTATTCAGCCATCTCTTTTGCCCGTATCTGTGAAGAAGGAAGCCATGAATTTATAATGAGGCGCCTGCTAAGCTTCACAACAAAAGACCAGTCATTATTTAAAATTGAATGGAAGACCTTCTCTTCAGAAAAACAAAAGTGCCTGTCATTGAGATAAAAAAGAACCCACTTTCGCTGCTGGCAATTTTTTTCATTAGCTGTCAGGAACATGAGTCAGAGTTTCTGTAATCACCTTTCTTTCCTATGAATTATAATGTGGATAGTACATTTTAAAGGCATGTATTTTATTCTTATTCTTCAACTACAGTAAAAATTTTATATATTCTATGACTAGTATTCTTAGTAATTAGCTAAACTTTTAGTCCGCTATGTATATAAGATCAAATTGATGGGTCATTTTAAGAAAAGATAGTCATTTTATTTTCTATCACTGTGACATTCTCGTAAAATTTAAAAAATCTGCATCAAGAATTTGGGGAAAATCCACAGGGTTGGAGTGCACACTAAAATATGCATTTACAATAATTATAGAGATGATGATGATATTATTGACTACATTTGATTTTATTTTCCTTTATTAAAAATACAAGATCTATAGCAAGTAGGGAAGGGGGAATATTCTCAGCACTTTTTCAGACAGGAGAGATTGAGGTATAAACAGTTTCAGTAATGTGACAAACTGGGGGATGAGACAGGGTTGCACTGGAAGCTACTGAAGACCTTCAAACAGGAGTGTTGGGGACAAGACGACAGGCTTGACGGTGGCATGGAGATATAGTGGCTTGGGAGTGGCATCCTGGGAACAGCTGAGAGGATTCTGCAGTGGTCGAGGAGAAGGTGTAGATGGCTTGGATAAGGATGGTGGCCATGGAGTGAATGAGGACACAGCAAGACCAAGAAATGTTAGGAGACAGGACTTGGTGATTGCATGTGTGTAAGACATAAGGTAATTGAAGGTGCTGAAGGTACTACAAATGACATCGCTGGGGAAGATGGGTGGAATAATGGTGACATTTACCGAGATCAGGAGCCCCAAAGAAGAGTGAGTTTGGGAGGGGCGGGGCAGGATAGAAGTACCGCTGTGTGAAATAGTAAGTCCAGTGCTATTGAGCATGAGGTATGTGAGATCTGTTCAAATACAGATGCCCAGTAGGCAACTGATTAAGGAGGGAGGTGTGAGTGGGAGGCAGTCACAGGCATGAAACTATTCATGGACGGTGTAAGCCTGAATGAACTTCTCCATGGTTACAAAGCAAAGCCTGGGGTAAAAGTTCATGAGCATCATTGAAAGGTGGGTACAATGTAGACTTGGAAATAACAGCTAAAGAGGCAGAAGGAAAAAAATGGCGTGAAAGTTAAGGCAAGGGCATATCTTGGTAAGGAGGATATGCCAGAGTTTGAGATGCCTTCTCTTTTAGAATGTGGCAACAGATTTCTGAAAGCAAATCTCTCCCATTTCATAAGCACCATGTCTGCCAAAAGACATGAGAAATGTAGTCAGTTCGTGCTGACCAAATCTTCAATCCCAGTGATCAACAATGTTTAGAGGCTTTCAAGCTTTTTTAAAACCACGCTCCACAATCCAAAGAAGTATACTTCACATTGTGATCCACCTCACAAAATATACATATATCCAATACTACAAAAACGAAAGTTTTCAAGGTAACACCACAACTTTCCTACATGCTGTGCAGTAAGTTGTTTCCTTTTCCTTCCCAATTCATACCATTCCCTTCCAGCGCTACTTTCATCACTCAAAATTGACTTCTTTTTTATTAGTACGTGTTTGCAATACACAATGAATGCATTCATGGTGGGAAACTGGCACATATACAGGTTGCCTCTTAATCCATTTTACTTCCCTTTCCTCTGTCCTCCCTCTCTTTCCCGTATCCCTCGATCTCCTTCACATCTCCAACAGGAAGGTGGACTTTGCAGAAAATTGATTTCTTGACTGACCAATGGGTCTTGACTTGTGGTTTGAAAATTATTATCAATGTCTATTTGATTCTCCCTCCTCAAACTTCCCTCTGCCAAAGGCAAGGCACCTTCCTATGGGAGAAAATACTACTTACTGGATTCTAAGTGAAAGACACAAAATTAATCATTCAACAAATATTCCAGTAATGCTACTTATTCATGGAGAAAATTCATGTGGGGCCCCCTCAGTAGTTTCTGTTTTTAGTAAACTGCAAACTTTAAGTGCTTATTATGGGCTGTAAATGGTGCTCAGAATTTGCATGCTATATCTCAATGAATTACTGTAATAACCCTAGGAAGGAGGTTCCACTATTTTTAACTTATTTTACAGATCAGGAAATTGAAGTTTAGCAAGATTAAGGGATTCATTCAAGGTCACATGATTGATGAAGGGCATATTTCAGATTTGAATTGCTTTTCTTTGCTGCCAAAGTTTCTGTTTTTAATGCTACACTATTTAAGGCATTAACCTCTGTTGGATATAATTTGAAGTTTTATTAAATTGGGAATTTCACATTAGAAACAAACTTCACTCCAAAGTATAAAAGCATGTAACCTGTCCAGTTTACCCAGCTTGGTTCACAGCCTGACTCCCAGGGCAGTGCCTGGAGCCCTCTGGCAACAAAATACCTCTGTATCCCTGCTCACCTGTCCTATGCACGGGCATGCCCCAACTCTGACCCGGCAAGCTTTTTAAAAAGTCGCACATGCTGAGTCTGCTCTCACAGAGCAGCAAGGATCTGCCTATTTTAAAAACCCTTTCTGAAACACATAAAAATAGAAAGGACAGAATAAGCTCTTTGCTCCACCTAATGGAAAAAGAGATGCGAGCACGCTCGCAAGGCGTCTCTCTTTGCAAAGTGGGAGTTGTTTTCTCCCCTAACGTGCCAACTCCTGAGAAATTCCTCGGACGTGAGAATGGAGGTTGTAGTGAGTGGCCACTGAAGTCTTTCACTGGCTGTAGCGGTCAGAATTTCTTTCCAGAGACAAAATGACCACTGTTTTTTATAAATGTGTCGTATGTTTTATAACATGCAAACAACTGACAAAAGAATAATTAAGATAGAAATAAATCACCCTGAAAACCACTACCCTGATTGCTTTACTTGATTCCAGACAGTTCATCCTACCTCCGTATACACAGAAGGCTGATTTGATAGCTGAATAGATGGACACAAATTAGATGACACCACACACATGCTTCTAAGAAACTAACAACTTCAACAACAACAACAACAAAATTGAAATAAAACAAAGAAATTGCCAAAGCTCTAATGTTTTATTAATATAAGATACATTAGTTCCTAAAAGAGCTTTTAAGAAAATGTCTTATGAAAAATATTGAGAGATGAGTTTGAATTAAAATAAGGAAGTACTGTGGGGTCACTGTATCCATGGGTTCTGTATTTGTGGATTCAACTGTTTATTGCAATATTTGGAAAACAATATTATGTTTAAAGTTAACCTCCTTTTTGTCACTATTCCTTAAATAATACAGTATAGTAATAACTACTGACACAGCACTTACATTGTAGTAGATATTATGTGTAAGTCCAAAGACGATTTAAAGGATACAGAGGGATGTACACAGGTTATACGTAATTATCATGTTATTTTATATAAGTGCTAGGAATCTGCAGATTTTAATGCCTGTGGAAATCCTGGAACCAATTTCTCAGGGATGCCAAGGGACTACTGTATTTTCATTTTAGATCTCATTTAATGACTTGCTGCTATGAAAACAGTACACTAAGAGTTCCTCTCCACATTCTGATCTGTTACATTAAGCTCAAACATTTACAAAGAATTTCTACATCTGTAGAAATTCTATTCACAACTTAGTCTAGAAGTGTTCTATGCATAACATCCATCTTTCGGCATCACTGTATAACTACAAAGTTCTTTTTTGGGGTGCATCTTTATCTCTCTGTTAGCTGCATATCATCTTTAGTTACTGGTTGGTCTCCCCAGCTTCAGAAGGCTTGGGGGATGTTATCCTGAGTTCCCGGCTACTTGAAAACAACTACCTATTGAATTTAGTAAAAATCTCGGGTCACACTTACCCTCCTGTCAGGTGTATTCTGATGAGAGCTGCCAGCAGAAATTTCTCTTGCCCACCCACCTACTTAATTTCTGCCTTTGCTATGAGCATCAATTATTTCATTTTCTTAAAGGCCACCAAGGTATGTCTTGTTATTATTTTTATTAAGATTTCCCAAACATAGCATGAATGTATTACACACAATTCTGGATAATATTTATTAGCTATTCAGCCACTATTGTCAGTCAGCTATGAAAGGTTTTTCATTTTGATATAATATTTTTATTTTCCAACTCTTGCCTAAGCTCTGCCCATTTGCTTTTGCAATATTTTTCCTTGTTTAGAACCCTTTTGCTACTTTTTCTTCTTTGAGCTTTACCTTTAGAGATCATGCTGTTCACGGACTCTAACAAAGCCACACAGACAATTATTTGCCTGAATTTTTTTCTCTTACTCCCAAGGGAAAGCTTTTCAGGGAATTTGTTACTTTTTCGTTCTTATTCCTCTTTCCTCCCTCCAGTAATTATAGAAAAGTGCTGTGCTGGTTTCTTCAGGATTAATGAGCTTTGATGGGGCTGGTTGTTGGATGACAATGAAACAGGTAGGGCTAGGAGTTAGCATCAGGTAAGTGAGCTTTTGCTGTTCAGAATTTTAAACTTCTGTTTTGGTCTAACAGTCTTTCACCAAACTGAGTATTTTCTCCCTCTGCTGGGGAGCTGCCCACCCTCAGGTACGGCGCCGCTGGAGGCTGCTGTGACTCCCGCCTTCTCATAATGTGGCCTTCCTGGGCTGCTCCAAGCCGTTGCTGCCAGCTTTCCTCTCTGTACCTATGTGACTCGAGGCTCTGCCTAGGCTGTGACCAGTCCTTCACAATGGATATGTCACTTGAACCTGATTTCCCTTTCAGGTCCCCCTCTACCGACCTCCTAAAGTGGCACCCAACTGGGGCTCCCTGAGGACATTTCCTGTTTCTGGTGGTGAGATCCTTAGATTTCTACCCGTCTAGATTGCTAGACAAGTGCTTTAGCACGAGCACACTTATGACACCTCTGCTGGTGGAGCAAGGCATGGCTTTGCTTTTAGTGTTTGCAGTTGTTTTCTGATTACTTGATATTTGGCTTGTCTGCTTCACAGTTTGTGGTCGGGCACTGCGGCTATTCCCATTTTCTGAAGGTGAACACTGTCTCTCTGTTTTGCATTCTTTCTTCCTTACAATGAATTTAGAAGGATAGGTGAAAAGTAAAAATGTCCATTCACTGCTATATTTTGTAGGAAGAGCTGATAGCATAGATTCTGCACTCAGTTTCATTAGTCTAAGGATGTCCATAATTCCAACAACTTCAGCAGTTCCAGAGGTGGTGGAGTGCCTTGTTTGCTTAACCAGAGAGCAATGCTTTGACCAAATTCTTTCCTTTATTTAAATAACACCCCTTGTCTGAGCATCTAATGCTTGGCTCCATGAAACAACTGTTTCCTAATTTAATATAACAAACTGTATCAAGAAAACAGCATGGAATATTTAAAACTTTTCTCTTTTTCAAAAACATTTAATACCTTGGCAACTTTATCTTTGCACAATTCACAAGAGTTTGAGCCTTGTATCTATAAATTAGCCAAAAGAAAAAGCAACTTACATGAAATACTGCACCGTATATGTAACTTCAGCTCCTTGCAGACTTTCTGGGGGATCCCAGTGGAGGATATTTTTCATGTTTATGGACAAGAAGGTGACATTTGCAGGTTTAGGCAAACCACCAGAGATACAGGGAGCTGAAAAGGGAGGAGAGGGGAATTGAAGTCTTATTGGAGGAAAAGGAAAACATAATCCCTGTAGTAGCTGGTCTCCAAAAATGGCCCCAATGAACGATGACTTCTGGTACTCCTGCCCTACGTATTTCCCCCCAAACTGAACCTGAGCTGACGCTGTGACTCATTTCAACCAAAGGCTGAAGAAGTGAGCCTGACACTAAGCCATAGGTGGCCTAAGAAGCTTTCACTTTTGGTGTATCTACGAGTGCTAATCTGGTGGAGAGTTCGTGTCCACAGGCCATGAGAAAGACAGGCTCAGTTGTCCCTGTGTCCCACCTGAATCCACGTAAGGGTTCAGAATAAGGTTACTGTGGTCCTTCCAGCCCCGTCTGCCACAGACTAATGCTGCATGAGAGACCCTAAATAAGGCCAGTAGATCTGTCCAGCTGAGCCTCAGTGAGCCTCAGCATTGTGAGAAATGGTAAAGCAACTGTTTGAAATAACGAAGACTATTTGGAGTATTTTGTTATGTGCCATCAGATGACTAAGCAATCTCTTTTCTAGAGATAGACATAAAATCCAGGCACCTGTGCAGGAGGATCGACCCTGCATACAGCCCTTTCCTGTGGTCCAACCCTTGCTCTGTGTATGCTCTGCAGATGAAAGGAGCCATGGACCACCAAGGACACTGCCTGGCCAAGGTGTGACCTTCTCTTCTGTGAAGTGGGGATAATAATTGCCCGCCCATTTCACAGGCCGAGACCTGTCTTAAAAAACAAAATAGGAAAATGTGTTAAGGTGTTGTGGATCCCATATGGGTGTCATTCAAACTGAGAGGAATTAAAAACCTGGGCAAAGTTTTCTTTGTACTCTTATAACTGGTTTTCAAATTTATACATGATTTTAGAATAGGAAAAACGCATAATTATGGAATATTAAAAAAGAAAGAAAATTTAGGAGAGAGGCCCTGAAAGCCCAGAGTTTTGGAGGTTTGAGTTAGGGTTGGTTTCGTTAAAATATGTAATAGAGCACTATGCAGAAAAGAAACAGTGAGAGAATTTAATTAAACAATACATTCACATACTGTGCTCAAAGGAAAACTAAAGGATTCATTTGTAAAAATCCTCTGAAAGAACTGAAACTACCAAAAAATTAGAAGGATTTTCTTATAAAATAAGGGTAATCCCCATTCATTCATATATATGTGTATACACACACACACACACACACACACACACACACACATATATATCCCCATTCGTACATATATGTTATTGGTTTCTTTTTTTTTTTTTTTTGGTACCAGG